TCATTTACAAGAGATCATATTCAAGATAAGTCTCTTTATAATGATAATATCTCCAGCTCGTGTCCCAATTTACAATCTGAGACTTGATTGTTTGTGGTTGACCCTTTATCAAGGGGGTTCTTTTACTGGTTTAATCATACCAGCAAATTGCTTAGTGGACAATAATCTCCGATAGAAACCAGTGTCAATTTTCATAACATTTTAATGTTTATGTCTTTTAAATCCTCATGTTTTCGTCTACCAAGTATCTTCACCTTGTAACGAGCAATTGAATATCCTCTGAACAATACATATTTGACCATCAGGGATTTAGTCGAATTTTAGCATAGGGTATTAAATCTTAAAGGATAAATATTCAATTAATTTCCTCTGATCTTTTAATTTTTTTTTTTTACTATGAATTATCTGTCAAGCTTAGCCCTGTATTCCTTAGCACATTTAGACTCATGGCTATTCTGCAAATTTAAAATTATTTTTTTTGCAATTTATGATGTGAATTTTAAAGATGGGTTTAACATTTATTAAAGGTCATTATAAAAAACACAGGGGACTTCGGTTTTACTAACGAGTTAAAGGGACACGTCATGCGTTTGACCAATCGTTCCTTAGTTTCAGAAGCAGGATTTTTTTTAGCTAAGCTTATCAGTAGTAGTGTTCACAGCTCGCCTTCAAATCCATGTGTGTACAAAATAATCTACGTTCAAATGACGACTCGTCTTTTCGTGATACTACGCCATATATATATATATATATATATATATAAAGTTATAAATAGAAAAAAGAAACTGAAATATTGGTGATAAAGTTCTGATACACTGCAAATACCTGATTTGTGTGAAAGGGTATTAAATATTTCATTTTAGGACTTTTAACAGATAAAAGTACGTGAAACTGAGATTATGTTAATACCTACTTTTTATCAAAGCAAATTTTTCAGTTGAAATTTAATTTTTAAATAAAAGGTCAAATGGTATATATTTTCGTTATGAATATCCTTTGTTGGCTTGATCCTCGAGAAGATAATATAATACGACGATATCCCTATGTAATCTGACTTATAAGAAGATTATGAAGTGTCGAAGTTAATTTGAGAATCACATTTTTTTCGGTCAACTGAGTTTTACTTAACGACTCTTTCAAGTCCAATTTTTGTACAGCAAATTGAATTTGTGTAATTCTTGATGAACTGAAGTGCTCAGTGCGAGGGATTTTGTCTGGACAGTTTCTTATTTTTGTTTTATGTCAAAGACAAACTGTGGCTCAGTTAAAGAGGAGCTGTTTGGAGGTAGATGACAAGTTAACGTCCACTTCCAGCGTAAGCTCATGTGGATGAATGTTAGTTTGGTGGTTGAGGAGAAAGGGGCTTGGGTGGACTTAGTTTCCTTCTACTGCGCATAAATGATTGATTCTTTTTTTTTTAAAAATGGATCTGAAATTTGAATTGATCTGAACAGGCATTAAGTAGTCCACTGATTTTTCGATGTGAGCGTAGCTTTCATAACCACTGAGACTAAAGATATATTTCTTTTTGAGCCCACCTTTAGTTGCCTGTCCGCCTCGCCTACTGGATGTCTGGGATTCAATTCCAGCATAGGTTGATCTTAAAACAGATTTCCCAATTCCAGTGATAAACATACATTGCAAAGAAATGTCTTGTCGTTCCGGAACGAGATCCACCAAAAGTCAGCTCACTTCATGTTGCACTTACTCAGCTAAACGCAAGTGAAAACGTGATCGCTGATAGTTGAATTTTTGTCAAGATTTCTTGGGTTGATGTACATTTTGTTAATGGATTTGGAGTAATATTTATATATTCCTTTAATGGTTTAGTTTTTAAAGTAGGTAAAATGGAAAGTAAGTGATGAAGTTAAGATAGGCCGTCCTCTTAAAAGCCTCTGAAATCGTGAAAAATTTGGATAATTTACTCAATAATTGAATATAAAGTATTTATAATTTATGAAAAGCAATAGTTTTAATTTTTATGGATTTTCAAAATTATTTCGGATGCGCTTCACCGTTTAACATTGATTTGGAGGAGGTACATTCAAAGTTTTCTTCGGTCAATAGGTGAACCCATTAGCCATCTTGACTTATATAGAATCAATCAGGTATACACCAATCAATTGATCATACTCATTGAATATTCAACACGTTAGTAAATTTGCTTTTAATCAACATTAAATGTAGTATGCTATTTAATCGACAGAAATATTCTAATAAGTCGTGTAAATTCTTTTTCAATAAAATTTGTGTAAGTGGAAAAATTGTTGATAATAAAAGGTTAAGAAGGGCGTCAATATCGTTGAGGTACAATATTTCGATAGTTTCAGTTAATTAAATTCATTTTATGTATCTGAAAGTTTTATCAATGCGTTTGTCAGTACTTTGAAGAAAAGTGAAATTATTCACGATTTCGTCTGGTAGTTTTTTCGTTAAAACAGATACAAAACGTAAAAAAATACAAAGTCAGAGTCGCTGAGCAATATCAGATATTTTCGAGCAGGTTATGCCTGGCAAGAGAACCCCTAGTACACTATCGTAGCTTATCAGTTTATATTATGTCCGTTACTGTATATTTTCCATTGGCAAAAAAGTTATGAAAAGTAGCCAGTAAGAACGGCATTTAGATTTAATACATTGTAATACACTAGTAGGTTTGAAATCTTTGGATGAAATTTTACCATAATCTCTGTGCACTTAGTATTTTCTAAACTCGTTAACAAATTAGTTGATAATTGGGAGATTTGCCATTTTCGATTTTAATAACACGTTTAAGAAAAAATGATGTTCTAGGACTATGTAATGTTTATGCACCAGGGAGATATGGAACAAATAATGCATAGTTCGTCCTATATTGTTGGTTACTCTTCAATAAAGTTCAATTCTTGACTGAATTGTTTTTCATAAAATTGTGGCAGCGTGATAGAACTCTTGAGTTTATTGTATAGAATATAAACTGAATTATATATTTACAACCTGTGTCTAAACAGCTCAAGGCTCAAGATCTCCGTTTATCTAACATGTCGACCCCTACATCTAACATGTCGTTCAAAAAACTGTTCAGAAACGGCAAGATTTGGGAAGATCTCACGACAGTTGTTAATCGAGAACAGGTGACCGTTTTTGTAGTTGTGCATGTATCTGCATGACATCATTAGCTTCAAAAAGAGTACCGGAACATGACATTGCCGATGAGTTGCATACGATGCCAAAGTGTGGAATGCAAAATACTCCTTTAACACCCGATGAAATACAGTCCAGACATGACAAGATATGACTAGTTCTGTTCACTGAACAAGATTCATAACTTTAACTTCCCGATTATAAATATGACGAAAATCCAACCCAATTAACTGATCTATTTCCTGAAACATTCATCGCAAATCACTGACCGTACTTATTTCAGGACCCACTCTTTGATCTATCAACTGTAGTACTTGAGCCATTTAGTTCTGGAGACTGGTCTTCTATAATATCCACGAAGTATTAAGCGTAAAGTTTCCTAGACCATGACATTGGTTCTGACTCGGGTCAATTGTACTGTTTAAAATCCGTATGGAAGTTGACAATCCTTCAGAACAAATGTTCACATAAACATTAATGTCTTATTTTGTTAATCTTCGCATACGTATTACTGATGGCTTCTAGATTCCTTAATAAGATTTGCTGTGCCTGTCGTTCATGTTCCTAGTTTCCTTCTATTTTTTAATGTTTGCAAGCCAACACTGACCACAAATTAGAAATCGGAACCAAGAGTCGTAGCTTCTCAAGATATCCATTAACTTTGCTTCAATTTAGCCATCAAATGGTATTGAATATTATTGATTTTATACGTTCTGAATTATTGGAGTATCAAACATTGGGAAGCGGTTATCTCCTTACAACAGAATGCTTTATAGTCGACCTTCGGAACATTTGATATACCTATGTTCTTTTAAAATCGGATATGCATTCAAATTACTAGTTTTAATGTCTTCGTAATATTATCCGGAAAACTGAGTCTTGAATATCAGGTATTTCTGGTATGTCGTGTTAATGTTTTCATCAGCATGTTTAAAGTAAATTAATATATTATACCAGTTGTGAAAGATCATAAAAAGCAAACGAATTTCCCTATAAGATAATTTTCTAGTCGTAGTCACGTTGAAGTTATGACACGTTTTTAAAATAATAAACGTATAGCCCCAGGTGTGCATAAAACTTGATTTATCAAAATACCAATAGATAGATAGATATATGACTTTTCGATTATGCGGGCCCTCAGCCGAAAAATGTGGCGATAAGATTTGTTGAGTAGTTTGAAAGATTCATATCAAGGTAGTCTCATAACTGTACGGTCAGCTAATATATCATGTGTCGCCGCAAGTGAGTCTAGGATATTCCCACGCTCCCCTTTGCCCCGAGCCAAGAAGTGTTTTGTGTTATTGCTATCTATGAGCCGCATCACGACAGATATTTTTGGGTAATCTGAGGACATCAAGGATAGGTTCCTGTACGCGATAGGCGGAGTTTTCCCACAGATTCACAATCCACCTGGCACGTGCCCTTCATTTTAATATGAATACCACGAGACGTTTATGATGACAAGTCCTGGCATGAAGTGTCCGACATAAAATTTCTTATACCTCTGTCAACTAATCGCTTGAGGCCTACACGCGAACAAGGCGGGCGCTTGCTTTTTGATTGACACGTGCTTAGCATGCGTCATAGGTAAACTTTATCTAGATATGTAAAGGTATTTGATAAAGAAAATTCGCGTGACAGCGCACATACCTACACACACCTGTTGCTTGGCGCACGGTCTTGCTAATGGCCATTCCACCAGATAGAAACATGCATTCCGATAAAGGATCTCCTTCCACAAGTGAAGGTCGAAAGGTATGTAATCAATTTGCATATTTAATTAAGTTATTGAAATTGATTTATGATTGCTCACGAAATTTCCTCAAATCTTCAAAATAAATTTTACCGCATTCATTGTTATAATTTATTTCTTTTTTCAGAGTTCCAAGCCGATAATGGAGAAAAAAAGACGAGCAAGAATCAATGCAAGTTTATCTGAATTAAAATCACTATTATTAGAAGTTATAAAGAAGGAAGTGAGTATATCTTAATCAAATCCAATAACTAGAAAATGGCAAATATTATTAATAACAGATTTTCAATATTTTCCTTATTTGAATTCTCAAGAAAAGAATCTTGAAGATACTCCATTTTTTCTATTCATCATGAGATATGAAGGGTTATTAATTATCTTGTATTTTGACAGGGCTCGCGACACAGTAAGATGGAGAAGGCCGATATACTTGAGATGACCGTTAAACACCTGAGGCAGCTTCAAAGACAAAAATTCACAGGTGGGCCATCGAAATAACAATATTTTATTTTATTAATCTTATCATTCGCTCACAAAAAAGAAATTTATTCGGATAATTTGTTCCTTTGTGTGCACACAAAAATGCATTTGAAGTATTGAGAAATTAAAGTGTGCTTAAATGACACTTAAAAGGAGTGATCTCGAATCAAAGATTTGCAGATTGTAATGGTTTTGTGCCCGTCCTTTACTTAACGGCTTCAGAAAAAAAGACATAAAACTGATGAATCGTAACAGAAGTAATATAAAGAGTACAAACATAACTAACAGTAAAGCAACAAAAATATTTTGTATCAGATAGAATCAGAAATCTTAAGGGATGTTAGCTGCATAAGTATAGTTTGACAAGCTTTCGGAGAAGGTTCGTAACACAAATGGGTTCTTTGTGTCTACAACATGTATATTATTCCTTCAAGGAACATGACAAATATGGGAAATTTGTCTAAATAACATTTTGAGTGAAATCGTACCATATGCTTTGAATGGCATTAATGCCTTTACTTGGAACTTCTTTTTTTCAGTTAATTCTTGTATTCATATTCAATATATTTGCTTTCCAGGATCTCCCAAAACTGACACGAATGTCTTGAACAATTATCGTCTAGGATTTGAAGAATGTGCTCAAGAAGTAACTCGATATCTATCTCAAATGGAAGTATGTGATGTGGACTTGAGATCACGGATATTAAATCATTTAGCTTCTTCTGTATCTAGTGGAATATTTAACCCCTCACCACCAACAACACCCGTATCGATTGTGTCACCAACCGTTTCAACTCAACCATGTACGTCATCAACTTCAATGTCCTTACCCTCAGCTCCAGTATTATCTTTACCATCAGTGTTCAGTCCTGTTCTTCCAGAACAGCCTACTCATCTGGAATCCTTTACAAGTATGGCCAGTGGGTCGCCTTGTGTTAGTCAACCAGTGCAAATGACAAAAGTGATGAGCGGGGTACAATTGATTCCAACAAAACTGCAATCGGGTGAAGTTGCCTTCGTGGTTCCTAGTAATGCTATCAACAGTGGAGGACAAGTTCCTAGTTATATCATTCCAGTGTATCCACAACAAGCCACAGAAACACAACCTCAACCTACTAGTGCTCCGACTTTCATTTCACAAATGCCAATCTTTCAAGTTGCACAACCACCAACACTGCCAATTTTGTCAAAACCACCACAAACTGCCACTCAGAACCCCTTTGTGTCTGCACCACCAAAACAACCACTGTTAACCATCCCGACATCAGATCCATTTCGTTCATCAACATTATTCACACCACGACCTAGCCAACCACCATCTGCTACTGTCACATCACAACGGTTTGTGGATCCTCGACCCGTGCTGCTGCCGAATCTACCTCCGGATTCCTTAGGAAATCCAGTTCGCCCTGAGTTACCTAGAGATGATTCTATGTGGAGACCTTGGTGAACCATGAAACCGAATGAATCTTGTGGTATCTGACGACGGGTGGTCGATAATTGGAAGTGAACTTGGTTGCATTTTAGAGCAAGTACATCAGTGGATCTTGGGTGAAATCCTCAGAGGTTGAATGGTTGTAAATATGCATTGAAGATAAACATTACATGACACAAGATTATGAATAGTTCTCCTACAATAAGGAGAATGCGTCTGTTAACTCAAAAGATGTCCTATTCCAAGAATCAATGGTTTTAATCGGTTAATATATTTCCTCTCGTGTATGGACAACTGGAATGTGTAATATCTATATCTTTACTGGCGAAATCATTATAATGTTTCTGGTGCCGTTGAAAACCAGTGAAATATTCACATCTTTTTGAGAAATTATGACTGGAATGGGTATATGAAAGAATTTCCCTTGATTGAGAATTGACGACTGAATTGTCACTACAGTTTGTGATATTTACAAATTACCATAGATGCTTATAACGAATGCTCACAAGAGTAGATGCTTTTAGCGAACTATCATTTGAATTCATACTAACGAATTTTTACGAGTATTTAACTTATAACAGAATGTTAGCTATTCAAAAAAATCAACCACAATGTAACAAAATATGGAAAGAATTTGTGCTGTAAACAAAATATCTTACAAATATGTGCTACCAAAATAACTTTTACTACAGTTTTTCTGTGATAATGAAAACACAGGGATCAATAAAAAGTGCTATAATAATAATTATTATAATTTATGCATCATTATTATTTTAATATCAGTTTATATTCTATTCATTATTTTATATCGTTAATATCATATCATAGAATTATTAATTTATTTTTATATTATTTTATAATAAAATCGTTTAAAATGTTAGTTTGTATTGATGTGTTTCTTTGTGTTACTTTTGCTCTTATTTAGAATGAAGAATAATTCTATTTACTTAATGTTAAGTAAATTCAGGTTTTAGTTACGATCATCCCCATATTTTGGTTTATTTTCCTTGTCCCACCAGCTTCAAACCCTAATTATATTCAAGATCCAAGTTATTTAAGGAACTTTACTTTTTGTAAAATCATATACCTTGAAAAATTCTTTTTGGTTAATAATTTACAATTGTCAGAGTGACAAACAGATCAAGTTCATATACTGAAAGTTCATCAATTGGCTTCGAGTTCATCAATGGACAGAAGGTTCATAAGTGACAAAATTCTCATTGAGATAAAATTCATGACGGTCATTCACTTCTTAAAGTCCCCTCAATTGTTAGAATTCTCATTGACAGCAAGTTCATCAAATTGTCTGACAATTCTTCAATGGACAGATATTTCAACAATTGTCGATAGTCCTCATCAATTGTTAAAAGGTTCATAAAGACAGAAAGCTCAACAAATTAACTAACAGTTCATCAATTAACAGAAATGGCATCAAATTGACAAATGGTTTGCCAAATTCCTTGCTTAAAAGTTCACCAAGTACCTTGTCCAAAGGTTAATCTAACTCAATTTTAAAGGAAGTTCATCCATAGAAAAGTTCCTTTGGTACAAACTTGACAATTTTATATCTACTGATAATAAGGTGTTATCTCCTAACTAATTATACTTATGCCCTCTCTAACGGTAGATAAATATTGATATACAAATGTACTGATCTCAGCAAAATATAGACATGCTCCAACTTGCTGATGGGGGATAATACAAAAATATACATGTATGCCTTATCTTTCTGTATGTTATCGATACCAACGCAAATTCTATGAATCATTACTTGTGAGGCCGAATCGGTGCCAAAGAATTCTCAAGGGGACCCTCAGGTCATTCTTCTCCTATGTGACGTAAGAAAGTGTGGGGGTGGGGTCAAATTTGAATGTCTCAAAGACGTCACCACTGACCTTGATGTTTATATTTTTGAGGTGCTATCAGTGGCTTAACCTTCTTGGTCAACTGCTAGATCTTAAACGATACATATTCCAGTTATTCCAAATTTTCGCTTATGTAAGCCAGTCGTTATTTAGCATATAAATTTAATTTTCCCCCAGAAAGTGCCTGCATTGTTTTCGACACGACTGTTTGGCTGATGCTTTTGCAGTAAAGTTTCTAAGTATTATTAGTCCCGGGCATAGGTCTAGACTTACTTATTTTATCAACAATCTCTCGTGTTCTTCTACAACGTTGGATAACCGTCTCGAATGAATTCATATTCACGACCCCCTGTCATATCTCGACTTAAAGAACACACGTGCATCTCTTTGTGTTATGTATGGAGCGCGCCCGGACACGATTCGTAACGCACTTGATTGCATGATAATTTCAGGTTGACTTGAATTAGGGACGTGAGAAAAGGAAAAAGAAAGGATATACGACGCGTGGGTCTATACATAATTATAAAACATTTTTGATATTTTCTAAACATAGACATGATTTCATTTATCCATTTAACAACCTTAAAATAGATATTAAGTCATCCTAGACTAAAGGTAACCATTAAAAAATGTTTTAAAAGATTACATATAGAGATACTAATAAAAAAGGGAGAGAGTTCGTGGGAACAATTTTAAGGCAATCTTACTCCTAAGCCTACTTCACATTTGATTACTGTGGTCTATTAAAAAGTCATTGACAATGAATGAAAAGTTTCAATTGACACTATGTGTTGACTCGTTATCCTTTTAAGGAATATTTTCTTGAGGATCGCATTTTAATTATATGGCAATGGCGTTTATACATGGATTGGGTTAAGGGTTGTTGGCATGACCCTCAGGTACTGGCTTGGAGAGGCATCACCTTGTATCTCGACAGTTGGTCCAATGACTGGACACGCAACTGAATGCCGACATGACGAGCATACAAGGGACATTTGAGAGGAATGTCAGCCCCACCAACGTTTGCCATCACACCTGTCATGGACTTGAGAAATGATCAGTTCTCTTCGACATAAATAACAATAACTTCTCTTGTCTTGGATATATGAAACGGCCAACGTTATACCGTGTGCAACGAGGAAACTTTTTACAGGACAACAGCTTGAGTCTACCCCCTTCTACTGTTGCAGCGTTTCCTTCGGGAATTTATACTTCCTTTGGCAATATGGAAGGGTTGCGGGTCAATGTTGTATTATTTCGACTTGAATCCTTTCAAAAATTATTTTATTTTTGTGTGCACGATGTCTTTGTAAACTTGAACCGAGGGACTCATGAGTTTTTAAGCATTTTGATTGATACTGTCGTCAATTTTCTTGAATGCATATAATTCTTTTTTCAATTTATCCGAAACGAAAGCAAGCAATCATAGAGGGTTATCAAGCGTTTCACTTATTTCAATAATTGTCCAATACAGATATATAATTTATTCCATATGACACCAGTACAATTACTTTTGTTCTATACCAAAGAAAGATACTAAATGAAATTCAATGGATATCAAATGAAAACGTTGTTGATTAAAGGGCTCGTATATTGCATTCCTGACCGATTTATCCAAATTATCTACTCGTTTCTTTAATTAAAGTGTATATTTTTATCATAATTTGTGGTACAGTACATATTGATTATGTAGCTGATAAGCCGAACATTCTGTAACATTTATACGTCGACAATATCCGCATTGGTATATACGTCGACAATATCCGCATTGGTATATACGTCGACAATATCCGCATTGGTATATAAGAATAATTTTATTTTGCCGAGTCAAGGTCAACAATAGCTTCAATTCATTTATTTATATCTTCATGATGATCTTCCTTGTGAAGTTTCTTGCAATCAAATAAAAAATGAAAACTTCACAAACCAAGTTGCTTCCAGTTTCTTCCCTATTCCTCACATTAACTGGATACATCTTCTGAAAAGGCCCCATAGGAGTGCAATAGGTCAATTGCTCACAGTTGCATAATTAACATATTCCATGTTTAATGCTTCTTTTAACAGGGCATGATTGATAACAAGAGACCATCACATTCTTAATGAACTCTTTCAATGTCTGGAGAGCAACTGTCCGTACCCCATATCTTAACAGTCGCATAACTAAAGTCAAGGCTTAGTTTGAGGATGTTATTATGAGCTGATCAGTAATATAATAGTGTTGCTGGGGATAAATTCTTTTTGGAATGGATAAGTGCCTATCTTTTGCTACACCAAGTCGATCTTCAGTGTGGTTGGTTTAGAAATGAGGAGTTGTTTTGTTCTATTTGGCTTATACTCTAGATCTAGATAGCGGCAAAAAGCAGGCCTCGGGCTAACTCGGGAAGCATCAGCCGCGGCATCGGCATTTTCTTACCT